GTCTGACTTTAAGATACGGCAAAAAGGTTAAATAATTTTTTTCCCTAATAATGTTGGTCATAAATGTCCTCATTACCGGCATTCCAGTTCTTGGAAGTGGCACTACTAGTGCTAATTAGTCAGTTAACAACAGCGCCCATTTTTATAATGGCCTAGATCAAATGCGATAGACTCTTATTTCTCTGTCTGGCCTCGAGCGAAATCAAAGAGATGTATACAACTAAGGCTAGGCTTTAGAATGGATTACGTAAATAGCCGGATTGTGGGAGTGTGCCGGGTAATCACAGCAAATGTTTGAGATGACCACCTTCAAGCAGGTAGGATTATTCGCGTTTTATATAATCTCATTATACACTTAAAGTAGCTTCATGCCTTGCCATAAATATCTGCAAAGGCTAGAGCAAAAATAACTTGAGCATGGGATGAACAGGAAAAAATGATAAGCAATATAGTGAATATAATACCCGTTGAGTGAATAAGAAGAGAATTGAAGGACTGATTCTGATAGATGAGGCTTTTTTCGAATAAAATTGTTATAGGTAAGCATCATATGTGGGATGTTAACATTATCGGAGGTGACTATCCAGAGGGACTATAAGGAAGGTAAATGCATCCAGTAGTTAAGTCTATAGAAAGTGAAAGATATAGGAAAAATAGCCTTGCCGAAAGCGGAATAATGAATGATGAAAGGGCAGCACAAGCGGGATAATTTCATTGAAATATCTTTTAAACCAAACGAATTATTACTACTTTATTTTAAATTAAGTAGTAAGTATTTATTAAGTTGAATACCACGGACAGGGTAAGAGCAGAACAGTGAATTTAGAGAAATCCTACTTATACGCTAGGTGTGGATAGGTTGACAAGAAGAAATAACCAAGAACTGAAAAAGAGCTTAAGAATATGTACAGACTAGTATAAAAATCACATAAAGTTGAGGGGGCGGGTCTTTTGGAGCTCAGCTATCCGACGTGACTATAAGTGTTTGAAGATGAGGACGGAGGAGGAGGAGGAGTAGATGGTGGCTGAAGTTGGTGATTGAGTAGATCCGAGTGGCTTTGAGATAAGTGTGTTTGTTGAGGGTACAGAGGCTGTTGCATGAGTTTGCGTGAGTGTTTTGGGCTATAGTTGCAGGTAGGCTGCTGTTGTTGATGGCAGTGATGATGGTGCTTCTTCGGGTGATGAAATGGAGGTGGAGGCAGGCCAGATTCATGTTGTTGCTGCAGCTGATGATGTTGAAGGGTGTGTTGAGCTCGCGGATGCTGTGGATGATAGTGAAGCTGTTGGTTGGGCAGATGGTGTGTGGGGTAGGAGATCTGGAGGGACGGATCGACAGTCGCATTAGCCAGGTCTCCAGGATTCATTGAATGCAATTGATTGCATGCCAGGTTGTTGACCGGCGAGCTGTTGTCGGGCCGCTGACTCGAGGCTGGGCTAAAGGCCATGAACTGTTGTAGAGCGCTGGCTTGCATTGCCAGGTAGGCCTGATGGCCGGCAGTCTGAGAGTTGGTGGGAAGACCGCAATCGGCCGGTTGCCAGGCTGTGATAGCGCCGGACGAGGCGGGATAGACGGTTGCGAGGGCGGGACAGAGCTCAAGAGCGGCAGATGGTGGAGTGAGACAAGTGCTGGCGCTATGGGCGCTGTGGGCGCTGTGAGCGCCGGCATCGTTGTTGCCAGGGGGCGAGGTGGGCGTGTTGCCAGGGCCGAGAAAAAGGGCGGGATGAGCAGGTGTGGCGGGCGTCTTCTGACCTGTGACCGGGAATGCGCCGGTTTGCGAGGGAGGCGGGCTGGAGAACAACTGGGAGCCGTCTGCTGGCAGCACACCGTGTTGGTAGAACTGGGCCTGCTGCGGCGGTTGGTAGGCGATGAGACCACAATGAGGGTGTTGATGTTGATGTTGATGTTGATGTTG